GAAGAAACAGGGCCTGAAATGAAACGACAAGAGGTAAATACAAAATAAACACGTGGGTTGCTATCCTGGCTCCAAAATAGGTGGTAATGAGCTCCCCATTGACATCAGGACTAGCAGAAAGCTTACACATCTTCCGGCGCAGACTGAAAACTCATCTCTTTCGACTCCACTTCGAGCGATTGAATTACTAACAAAGCACTTATATACTAATAAAGGACTGGCTTATCTAAAGCCAGTTGAGTAGCACTTGAAATGTTTTAGCTCTATGAAACCTGATGTACTTATATGATGCTGTTTTCTTCAAGTTTGTATCTTGTTGGTTGAATGCACTTATTGTAAGTCGCTTTGGATAAATGCATCAGCTAAATGCATCAGCTAAATGCAATGTAATGAAGCGAATGTATAATGATTTGATGAATCAATCACTTGCTAATCTGGGCGGATTATCAATGTAGTAGCAGAAGATGGTTTAAAACAATCACACGTAGCCATGATTTTGTGATTTCCCAATGTTTACTTTCCCTAAAGGTTAAGCAGCTCAATATGGACCTTGAAGATGTTTTGATGAAGGGAGAATTGTTTATTCAGGTTTTCCATGTCTTCTCAGTATCTTCAGAGGAATATAAAATAGTGTTTGCTGCTCGGGGCTGATGGTGTTGTTGGGAGAAAAAGAACAAGACTGGCTGGCTTATCCAACTCTCAGCCACTGATCTGTTGGTCTTTCACTCGGAGAGCGTAAGCCCCACTAAAACCTGCCCTGTTTTGTGTGTTTGAGCGTGTACAGCCCACGTGCTTCACTTAAGGCGAGCAGAGCTGCTCCCTGTTCAGGATTATTCCTCTGGGAACAGGCTGAGTCACGCCACATAAGAACAGAAAGAGAAACATACAGGGAGTAGAGGGGGCTGGATGGAGATTGTGCTTTTGAGATGGGTGATGCTGACAAAGAAAAACATTATAATCACTTTGATCATTGATTTCTCCCAGTTATACATTTGCATCTCAGTTAATGGATGACCCATAGCTATATCTACTAAATACAGAAACCCATGCATCTGTGAGTCTCTTGTGTCAGAGGCGGTCTGATCTTTAATCCACAATACAGTATTTCTTGTAGGGATGTTCATGCATGCAGTGAACTGTTTTGTGTCTCTCACTTCTCTTGGATTAGATTCCCCTCTAATTCCAAAATGGACAATTAGACAAATACAATGCTTTTCATAGAATAAAAATTGAAACATAACCGGTGCCTTGAAACAAACACAAGATCAGCTATTCATTATTCACATTATGAAGTAACCAAACAAGGACGGACACTCAGAAATATCCATGTTTAAAGTGTGGTTTTGATTATATAGACAATAGTCTGCAGAGAGATTCAATAATTGAATCTCATAGTCTGTAATATTCGGGATATTTTCAGCTCCTTTGAGACTCTTTCAAAATGAGGTTAACCCACTTTGTGGTATATTTTCGTCTGGTTTGATGCTACATTTAGCTCATTGAAATGTTGGAGCATGGATTTAACTTTCTGGATTTTTGGCGTTTCAGCTGACGCCCCAATTTAGAGCGCCCTACAGCGAGTGTTCAGGCAAGAGTTCAGAGTTTAGATCAAGGGCAATCTGACGAGGCATTGTGCTGTTCGTCATTTCACATTATCTGTTGTAGTTAGAGAGGCAAAGCTCTGTGACAGGAAGGCCACTGCTGTGTATACATATTTGCATATCTCTCTGAAAATATTTTTCTCACTAGATAACACTGACAGGGTCACAGACAATGGCAGTCAGAAGGACACGGGACGTTCTCTATAATCATTGTTTTTGTCCCTTTTCTCCCCTCTCATTGTATTTTCTGCATTTTTTTTTAGGTGGTCTTGGTGCGGTGGAATGAACCCTTCCAGAAACTGGCTACCTGTGACACAGATGGAGGAATCTTTGTCTGGATCCAGTATGAGGGCCGCTGGTCCGTGGAGCTGGTCAATGACCGTGGAGCCCAGGTAAAATACATTACACAGAAATGGGACGTGAACAAAATGTTTCATTTAAAGTGCATTTTTCCTTTGCATTTACACAGAATATGGAATGCATGTTGAGAAATACAAATTGTATTCATGAACATGAGTGCATATATAAAGCAAGTAGATGCACAATAGAGAACAGTAATATGGGTAAAATACATATCAACAACAGCAAATTAACAGAAAAAGTTTAGATTTAGAGATAACACTTTATTTGACACTTTCACTATACTGTCACTCAGTTCATGGGTATTATTTATACTGACATTAACAGGCAGTCAATATTAAAAAAAAAAAATATTTCTGACAGTGCTGGTCACAAAACTGGAATGAAACTAGTTGTAAATGTCTTGCGAGCAGCACCTAGAGGCCGTTCTTCTCTTAACATCTGTTTGGAGATTTTCATGTTGCCATCATTAGAGCCCTGCTACTAAGCACACAAAAATGTGAGTGTTGTTAAATACGACCAGTTCCTAATTCTTGCTATTCATATATTGCATTTTTACAGTAAACATACGTGAGGGCTGTTTAACAGTCAAAGAGGAACTGTTTCAGTGCTAAATAACAGAATGACAGTTAAAATGGCATCAAAGGCTCTGTTTGATTTACACAACTGTTTTTTTAATCATAAAGCTAGCATCTCATTATATCATCACCTTACTCAACTCCTGTGTCCGGGCCCCTATAGGTGAGTGACTTCACCTGGTCCCATGATGGCACCCAGGCTCTCATCTCCTACCGCGATGGCTTTGTCCTGGTGGGGTCAGTCAGCGGGCAGAGACACTGGTCCTCCGAGATCAACCTGGAAAGCCAGATTACCTGTGGGATCTGGACCCCCGATGACCAGCAGGTAACACGCACACATCCCGCAGAATTGTAACAATTCACCCTACCACTTTACAAGCCTTTGATTTGAATAGCTTTTAGAAGTTTTAGGTTGTCATTTGCCACTTTAAGTATGTGGACTTGTCATTCAGAAGGCTGCGACCGGGGCCAGAGGGAGATCGTCTCTGAGTGACAGCAACCCTGCTCTGTCTTGAAAGTGTTATTTTTTTGTTAGCCTATGTTTATGCTTCCATGCTGTTAAATTGTCAGCTCAGGTTGGACATCATCAAACTTCAGTCTGGATATGTGTCTGTCTTTTTTCACCCCTTCATCCCATTTATGTCTTTCCCCAAGTTGTTGTCCTTGTGATATGCACTTCTCTTAACTCTATCAGTCATCTCTTGTCTATTTCTAAGTGTAGCTTCCTTTCCATCTTCTGCCTTTAAGTCCAAGTTAGAGTGTTTCATTTTTTCCTCTTGATTCCTCTCCCTTAAAATCCTTTACTATTCCTCTCTAGGTGTTGTTCGGTACTGCAGATGGACAGGTGATAGTGATGGACTGCCATGGGCGCATGCTGGCCCACATTCTGCTGCATGAGTCGGATGGCATCGTCAGCATGTCCTGGAACTATCCCAGTTTCCTGGTGGAGGACAGCAGTGAGAGCGACACAGATTCTGACGACTACTCTCCACTGCAAAGTAAACTGCTCGGGGTTTGATTTCAATTGACTGCTCTTTGTGGCTTGCTCAGACACACACACAGCGAAAAATGCAATTTACATCATGTCTACAGTAGACAACTGAATAATATGATGTAGGATTAGACACTAATAAAGGTTTACATAGTAAGGATGTACCAATACCAAACATCTAGTAGTCAATACCAATATTAGTTAATTCCACAATTATTGATAACCAATTTGAAACCACGTTAAATAAATGTATCGGCCTGAATAATTTAAAACAGTCTTGCTGTTTAATACGGAAGTACTTCTGTGCAAAATACATAGGACCATAAGTTACTCTACCTGCCTCTTACCGCCATCTTTTACGACTCCATCAATTCTTCCTCAGGCTCTTAGTCCAAAGGGAAGGGTGAAAGATTTCCAATTGGGGGCACAAGGTTAGGACACAAGTTATGACTGGTAGGGTTTCACTATATTGTGATTAGTAGCCTCCCCTCCCTAGTGTTCTCATGAATATTTAGGTCGAAGAAACAGGTGTACACGTGGACATAAACTGTGCCTTGTTTCTGTATCGATATTAGATAATATACCATATGAATGTGAAAATGATCATGAAAGTAGTGGATCGGATCAGCTACATGTTCAGAGTGCTTCTGAACACTTTTGATGGTCTTTGGCACAATTACATTTCAATCTTGAGATGCCTGCTTTACCCTGTTAGTATTACGCAGAGTAGTAAAATGTGTTCTTAAATAAGGTAAACACATTTTATGGTTTGGAGTATACTCCTGGGTTGTCGATGTATAGGAGGTAATAATTGAAGCTTATCGTTAAAGGGTAGGTCATTTGTGATGCTGATCTCACCGGCGATCCGCATCATTTATTAAACTTCATAGGTGAGAAGATGACTCTTCCAATATTTCCCGCTTCTCTGCCAGTTGTGAAGACGGTGAGGGAGAGACGCATTAAAACAAGAGAGTGTGACCAAACGGAAGATGGGTGGGGGGCTGCGGTTAAAGATGGAGGGCAGGAGGTGGAGGAGGAGCTCTCCTGACAATGGGCTGACGCTGCCACTGGACCTCCTGTTTGCTTTTAATGCTGCAGTAGCTGTTGTCATAACAGCAGCAGATGTCACAGTGTAAGGAGGTGCGTCACCAGGCTCTGTGTGCGACACACTTACATTGTGGACAATCAATGGTTCTACCTGGAAAAGGAAGTGTGTTATCTACAAATAAAATATGAATTCTTTGTAGTGTCTAAACACAAAACGTATACATTTATGACTTTATTTTCAATTGTTTCTTCTTTAAACATAATCCACTCCATTGGAATATGTTCACCTTTTAATGTCCCGATCGAACCCTAGTACAAAATACAAAATGTTCTGCCTTAATCTGTATGTGTTGGCGTGAAGCCTCTAAAAAACAAAACAACAAGGGGCGTTGTAGCAACAATCTAACAACACCATAAACTACATTTATACTGTATAACGACATTATAAAAAAGGCTGTTTTTTTGGTAAATATGAACGGCTTTCTTGGCTTCAGTCTAAAAAACGGAAGTGGAAGTTTTACGTGTAAAAAATAAAACATTCTGCACAGCCCTGGCTACAGTTGACTTTATGCTACTGTTGATATTAGAGGAGAAAAAAAAAGGTTTGAATAGTTGCCAAATAAACATTTACACCCCACCTGTAGATTCTCCTCCAACCAACCTCCTTTTCAGATTTTCATGAAGCATATAGTTAATTTAATCCTAAAATAACTCTCCTTTTGTAGTGCCCTTTGCTGGCGACCCACAGACGTGTTCGATGGCAGTATTTAAAACAGTCAATGGTGAGCCTGAGCAAATCTGGTGGCCAACACCAATACTGTAGGTCAGTGGTCACCAACCTTTTTAAGCCCAAGATCACCGACATCGGCCTAGGTGAAAGGGGAGATCTACCTATTGCAGAATTGAGTGAAAGAGACGGCCCAGACAATTCTTCCAATTTGAGGCCTTTTATATACCGTAGGCTAATTGCATCTGAATTACTGTTACAATGGGGGGAGCATCCCCCCCGGACCCCCCTATAGGAGGTGAGGACCCCCTAGAGGAGGTGAGGTCCACCCCCCAATAGCACTTTACCCCTGCCTATATGCCGTGAGCTGATTATGGAGCCTTCATTGTAACAGTAATTCAGATGCAATTAGCCTACGGTATATAAAAGGCCTCAAATTGGAAGAATTGTCTGGGCCGTCTCTTTCACTCAATTCTGCAATAGNGGTCAGTCTGGAGATTCATCTGAAAAGTATCGACTCTCCTCTGTGGGACTCGGCATGGACAGTCCACAATAATGTTTTATTGTTTTCTTTTATTTAGACAAACCCAAATAAAAGGCACATAAAACATTGCGCATATGTTTACATAATTATTCTCAATGGACATACATTTAAAAAAAATGTAGGAATGTTTTACCTTTCTGCTAATCAGAAAGCCTAGCCTTTGTATATACAAAAATTATCGTTTGTTAATGTTCTAATACAAAAAGATTTATAAAAGGTTATTTTTTTTCCTTGCATGTGTCTTTCATAACTAACATGTCCTCTGATCTAAATGGTTTGTACAAAGATATACATTCATTTGCCTTCACATCTGCCAAATTCATCATACAAACTTCACAGAAAATAAAATGAAATCTTCCAAATCAATATTTGGCCAAATGTTTTTCACATTAGGTTGAAGTCAAATTAAAGAAATGAAACCAGATGGTTAAATATCAGTTACAGTTACATGACCCAAATACATATCTCAATTCATGTTGAAAGTTGTTCCTGGAGTAAGAGAACTTCACAATCATAATGTTGTAAAAAAAAAAAAAAAGCTAACAGTTTGGTTGCCACGGGACCCGGGCCGTCTGAACTGATGAAGGCTTTCCTCACAAAACTATTCCATCACACAGCACATCGAGAGGAAGAAGCATCGACGTGTGGAAAAGTCTTGCAAAGTATTTCAGGCACACTTGTTTACGGCCACTGGAGAAGGACAAATGACACGGCGCACTTCCTTCCATTCTAATTTTTTTAGTGTTTTGTTTTCATAAAAAGTTACTAGCCTTCTAATTATGGTTTTGAACTCAAACCTACACTGGACAAGCTCCATCATCCACATGCAACATTGTAAAAATAAAATAACTCATATAGATGGGAAATTAATTTCAAAGATCATAATGCCGGTACACATACAAGCGTTTCCCTTGGTGGCCAGTGTTGGCATGCATAAAATAAAACTGAGGGGCTGCCGAAATGCAGATGCAGCCAGGAGAGCTGTAAAATTAAATAATTTGCATTCCACCAAATAGAAATGCCCCTTTTAGTACCACTCCTCTGTAGTGTGCACATCCTACAGTTTGCTGCAAGTGCTTCAGAGTTCCTGTTGTGAAAAAAGGAGCTTAACCACCAACAGGCTTCACATCTACGAACTACTCCCACCCACCAGGGAAGAGTGGGACTTTATGTGAGGCTGGTTCAGAAACAGCTGAGGCTGAGATCACAATAGAGATGAACATGTTCACTTGTTTTGTTTCCTTGAGGTTTGGTCATGACAAGAGCATGTCTTCAACACATTCAGGCGTAGTTCTGGGCCTTGGCCAATACAATGTACAACGTCACGGTCTGCTCTGATATCAAGGGGGTTTTGATAGTGGTGTAGGAATGAGTCATTCACCTGGAAATGAGTACACATGGTGTACTGCTATTTGTGTTAATGCCCTACAACTGCCTTATTTTTAGCTTTGGTACTATGATAGAACTGGTATGCACAATATCAATATCTCAAAGTTATTGAGATATAACTTTGTAAAGGGAGGCGTGTGGCGCAATGGCCTAGTGCGCTGGTGTTGGGATCAGGGGAGCACAGGTTCAAACCCCACTGCAGTCAGCATGTCGTTGTGTCCCTGAGACACTTCACCCCAAATTGCTTCTGTGGGGATTGCCCACAGTATTGAGTATGTAAGTCACTTTGGATAAAAGCGTCTAACAAGTGACATGTAATGTAATGTTATTATACAAGTGCTTCCTCCCACGTTTGCATAAGGTTGTCCGTCTCTGTGGATGCCATTTGAAAAGGTTAAAGTGTTTCAGTTTTAAAGATGATCAAATCGCTAACACCTTTTCTCAGTAATGACTGGCATGAAAAGCCTGTATGAATGCGGAATTCATGAATCCTACTATGATTCTCTGACATGCTAATGTTGAGTGGGAAATAAAGCCTCCTTTGTGATCACAGCCTCAATTTTCCAGTGAAGATGAACTGCCAGGATTAAAAATATAATCCCAAACAAACAATAAAATAACACTGAGCTATGCACGTGCGGTCTACAGAGAAAATACAGCTTTAAAAGGATATGGCTGGAGTTTTCTCTTTAGGTGTAGTTCTCCTGTAGAAAACACCTGCTAACAGCTACGGCCTCATATCGCTCACACTTCGCCACAGAACGATACGATTTACACTGTGTTCCTTCAATTAGAATAATGAGACAAACCTTGTTTTTTCCCACCAATAAATCTTTGACAATTGTAAGGAGTAGGTTGAACGATCTGAAGAGCACATGCTCAGTGTTCATGTATTTGAAGAAGCCATAGCTGCACAGATCATTCTTGTTCCCATGTTAAACCTTTTTTTGAAGGGATTTGATGATGGAAAGGTACCGACACCAGCCTTATCCTTCAGTTGCTGCTCATGTCTCTCCTGGGATGGACGGCCACATCAGTGATGTAGTTCTTGCATTGCTAGCCTGTGGAAGTAGAGATGCTCCCTCTCCCACGGGTAAAAAGGCAATCAAATAGTGTTTCATATTTACAAAGAAATGGCCATGTTTTTCTTTTAAAGACTATTCTCAGTAACCTTCCTGAGTTGGACTGACAGTGATGGGATCCTAAACCTGCTGAAGTAAACAATATGAATGAACATACGAGTTCACTTGGGGACTGCTTTCATTATAGGGAGCCACTGGGTAGCTCTCTTGACCTCTACAGTTTAAAAAAGAAGAAAAAATCAATTCAAATGTAAAAAATGTTGATCTCTGATAATACTGCCATTTAAAGGGCAAACGGTAGGGGACACGCTTTGAGTACAAGACATTTCCTCTTTGTTGTACCTTCAACTGTCATGTCCTGATATAAATACATACAAACATTCCCAAACAGAAGTCACTAGTGTAGAGTAACCAGCAGTGACCACTGACTGGTTTCCAGCCATTTAAAAACATAAACATGGTGGGGAGGGGATAGTTGATGGGTCTAAAACAGCCTCTGAACCGTCGACTCACACCCCCCCCCTCCCCCCTGAAATGGAAGCTTTGTTTTTCTTTCGTTAAACTTTAAAATACATAAACTATCAAATACTGATAAGTCCACTAAAAATAACAACGGAAACAAACTAAATCTGCCTGAAGAGGAAGCATTTAAGTACAACTCCAGTACACTTCAGGTTTAAGGAGCTTTAAAACAAAGCCTAATGGAGGAGGGTAAAGTGTCACCCACGTTCCAAGTCAGATGCCCAGTTGAAAAAAATCACTTGTCGTTCACTTTTACGAGATCGACACCGTCCTTCAGCGGTTAAATAAAAGAGAGAGAACTCTAAAAGGGTGTGCGTCTCCACAGCCTATAATGTGTTTTATGCCAACACTGCTGCAATACGCTCACCCTCAACTATCTGTAATAGTAAAACCTACTACCCGAGTTTGAAAAAAGGAGTAGGCAATGGATAAATAAAAACAAATATGGTGAAAAAGTAGCAGCTGATATTGTAATAACTGCCCAATAATTTCAAACTAAAGTCAAAGGAAGTCTTTTGGTTTTAAAGGAGTGTAATAAAACCTGTTCATGTAACCGTTAACGCAAAGAAATGTAACAGAATCGGATATTATGGGTAGAGGTGGCTTCTAAGGAAACAGAGATCAGACTCCTCCGCATAAGGCGCCATTTCATCTGTGTTTCAAAAAGGAGAGTTGTGTGTCTTATGAGGGTTTAATGGTGTTTTATGGTTTTCCCCTAATCTTTTAAAATATAGCGTTTAGGGGGAAACTAGTTAGAAAATCTTTGGCATAAAATGGTCATTATTTACACAGAATATCTGCGGAAAATGTCCAAAAACATCCGTCCGTTAAGTGTGTGGCTGGTGAGATGTTTTGGGTTATTCGGGCAGTAAAGGAAACAAATTCTAATTATCGGATAAGAAAGTTCCTTCTTCTTCTAAATGGTTTCACTTGTTAATGTGATCTTTAGGATCATTTTCTAGCCTTTATGGAGCTTACAACTTGATATCATGTTCTCGATCAGACGAAAGAGATGAGAGGCCAAACTTATCTGGCACTTAAAACTGTCTTTGAACAGACAGTGGGTCAAACCTCAATAAGAAAAAGAAGTAAACTGATTTTTTTTGTCAAACCAGTTTCTCTTTTCATGTTTGAAACGGGAATGGCCCTAAGAAGTCCGACCCAGGTGAGTTACACCATAGACCAGGGAAGAGCATTATAACGCATGATTTGAGAGGATAATAACTTGATCTGTCAGAAATGTTGCTACATCTTTTCATTTGAGTGTATTAGGCCAATGTTGCTAGACTTCTTTATGGTTAACCTGATTTACAGTATGTTTGCATCAATGTGATGAAGTATCTTAAATGTGACAGGTAATACATTTAATGGGTAGCAAAAACAGAAATTCCCATCTCACTTCGATAAAATATCTAGAATTGTCCTATATTACAAAATCTAAAATAAAAATGATTTTAAAAAAAAAACATACTATGAAAGATAAGTGGTTAAAGTTTGCCATTCTCGCGCGGAAGGCAGCTTACATTATTTCATATGCTGATTCTCTGCAATGAGAGACTGTCGCAATATTATTTCTCTATCATGAGTAAGAATATATGAACGTTTTTTTTTTCTACTCGTACAAATAAAATAAAGAATGCGTCACCCCTGCAAATAGCAATCATTTGTTACTATCTATGAGTTTGTACTACATTAGTTATTACCTTCTTGACTCGTCCAAAGGAACATTTGACTAAGATTTGACGTGCTCGTCTATTATTTGGCAGTTAACATTATCAGCGTTTACATAAGCTAAAAAAGAAAATAAGCTCTACCAAGGAGGGGAGGAAGGCAGGACTTGGGATAGAAAAGGCATGCTATCCATGGGCCTCATGGCGATGTTGAGGGGCCCGGTGAGATTCATGGACATGGGAGAGGTGATGGCCACGGGGTGAGCGATATTCATGTGTGCTGTCGTGGGGATGTTGATGGAGGCCAGGTTCACAGGGCCGGTGATGGTGACGGGGTGCTGCAGGTTCATCTGTGACGTGATGTTCACCGTGCTGGTGGCGATGTTCATCTGAGCAGCGATGGTGATGGGGTTGCCGATGAGGCCTCCGCGATTCAAAGCCGAGGTGATGGCCGCGGAATGTGTGACCGCCGTCGTACTCGCCGAGTTGTTGTGCACGTTGTTGGCATCTGTTAAAACAAAAAAATGAAATTGAGATCCGGTCGACCGTGTGGGAATATACTACCCCTCCAAAACGGAGAACAGCCCTCTCAGCTCCGTGGCTGTTTAGCTGGGGTCACTGAAAACGGCAATGAATCATTAATATGTCAACTGTAGGAAAAGTGTTGAAGAAACCTACCTCTGTGAGAGTTGTCAATTAGGACTTGGAAGGAGTTATTTAAAATCTCTCCTACCGTCAACTCACCTGAGGGGTAAATTCAAAAAGCAGGATCAATAAACTAACCAGCTAACTGTCCATTTGCTTTTATTCAAAAACGTTCATTTTAAAACAGGTATACATTATGACGGACATCTTTAGCTCTGTGTCCGCCTAAGGCTGGACACTACACTGACAGACTGCCAATTTGATCAGTGCAGATTAATTTTTTGTAAAAACATTATAATTGGTAGATTTTGATGACAAGTGTGTGGACAAAACAAATTGAATTATCAATCTGGTCAGTTAGGACAGATATGTCAGTTGGGTAATACGAGAGGACCTCTGAAGAGAGGTCAGGTAGTGTGCAGCTAGCTTAAGTGTTATGGTCCAGTTTGTGGTTAGTTTAATTGATCTACTGATCCCGCTTCATGAAATGTAACCTTAGTTTGGCAAAAACACTAGATCTTCGATATAGAAAACCCTAATTACATCAGTCCTCTGGAGAAAAAGAAATGCTTGTGCACATGAGTGACATGGTACGTGAAGAAAAACTGGCCACTTGTGTTTTGTTGAATTCAGTGTTTAGGGGGTTTTGCTACGAGCTACTGGTTTACCTTTTCGTGGCCCTGAGTGGTTCCACTGCCAGTCACTTATGCCTATTCAGAAATACAGACACATATGGGGTTACATTAGCACAGGGCAACAGTGTCCTCATGTGGGAGTCAGCTTCAACAGTCAGCATGGTTGGACTGTGTTGCAGTGTGGGACTGGTGTGGTAAATATTAAACATTCTTCTCGTGGGCCGATTTACAGACGTCTCATTTCCAATGCAAGTGGATTGGATAAAGTTATTTTGAGCCCAATGGCGTCACGTGTCTGTCACTGAGGTTCTAGTAGCAACGTTAAGCCACTGGGAACATTTGCTTCAATGCCCGGCTCACTTCCTGGGGGCTTGGAACAAACTGAAGGAGCTCTGAGGCTCATTTCCTCCTGTACATTCAATCACTACTGGGTGAGTGTGGAATGAATACCAAAAAAAACATATCAGAATGATGACATAACGATGCAAAACAACAACGGAATTTGTACAGATTGTTGTTGTCTGTCACAGCTTCAGCTTGCCAACCGATTAGATGTTAAACTGAATAATGATGGTGTAAGCGGAGATGATGGCCTACCTTTATTGTTACACGGGTTGCTGAAGCTGGCCTGGCCGTGCGTCTTGAGGTGACTCGTGATGTAGGCAGCGCTTAACATTTTGCCGCAGATGTTGCAGGTCACTTTGCCTTCGTGCCTTATCATGTGGGAGCGCAAACGGTCTTTGGTCGCGAATGCAGAGGTACAAGCCTGGGATGAATAAAAAAAACAGTCAACAATTGTTTGGATTGGCGACAGGAATACACAAACAAAAACACAATGTAATCTCCTGGTAAGCTCTTAAATTAATTAAATTAAGAATGCAACACAATTCTTTATTACAATTTCTTGTCCTGTTTTTGATTTGTAGATTTATGTCTTTTGCAAGCACCTTGACCTATACATTTATATTTAGAATTACGTGTTTAGTACATGGATAAAAATACTTTTAATTGTTGTTAATGTTTTCTAATTCAGACAGAGATAAATATTGCTGGATGCTTTTTTCATTTATGTTTTTTCTCCGTCATCCTTCAATCAGGTAGTGGCCATGGCGTGTTAAAAGAGCGAGCTAATGTCGCGTTGGCATGTTGTCTTTGAATTGCAGGTTAAGCATATCAAACAAACACTGGGAGAATGCAGATCCTGCTTTGTATTTCAATTCAGAATCAAAATCTTACACCCCTAACAAGTAGTAGATTCTGGTTGGCCTCTGATGTTCTCTAATCTGATCGTAGGAGTTCTCAATGGCGTTGACCATCATGCGTTAATATTGACACAGGCCTGAACTCGAGGCAAACATTAGAGCAATATGCAGAGAGGAGAAAGAATCTTACCGTTACTTGGCACTTAAATGGCCTCTCTGAAGAATGGACGTGCTTTACGTGACAGCTTAGATGATCAGGTCTGCAGGGTGACATGAAGACAAGGAAAACAATTGAAATCCTTCAGCTCCTTTCTTCAACAGTCCTTATTGTGTTCATTTACAGCAGAATTCATTTATACAGCAAGTTTTATCCTCAAAAACTGTTTGAAATGTGTCATTACCAACAGCAGTAATTATAACAACAGTGTTTCCCGCAGATCTGAAATATACTTGTGGCGGTAGTCGAGAACGGGGGGGAGGGGGTGCGCTAGTGGAGCACGCTAATGAACTGTTCGCCGGAGCCTCGCAGCGGGGTTACTGCGTAGCACATGAAGCAGACCCTTCACGCGATTGCGGAGCAAACTGCTAAAGGAGGGGCCGTTGTCCACTAGGTAATCGATCGCGGGGGGCGTTGTGCTCGAGGGCGGATAAAAAATGTTTAAACCTAAATGGGTCGTGAAATACACTTTGGCGGACGTTAATATACCTGGGCGGCCCGCCCAAGTAAAGTCTATGTGTGGGGAAACCCTGAACAAGAACATGTTTTATTGTAAACCAAATATTGAATACACACCATGAATCCTTTAAGGCTTATAAATCTAAGACTGGCAATTACCTTTATTTTTCACAGGGACTAATCTTAAAAGAAGCCTCTTAACCTTCAATCAACTGTCAGCCCTAATGTTCCCTACAGTTGTGTTTAGTCAATGAAAACTCAACTAACCCAAGTAACATGGTTAAAAAAACAGTCCTAAAGATTAAGAGAAAGTAATACTGAAATCATTACAAATAGAGCTTGCAATTGATGCTCGCTTAAAAAATGTTTTATGTGAACAAGGTGAACTAAGCTGTTCCTCAGTTTAAGCGCCAGTAAATTCATATTTTATGTATCGGCTAAAATGAAACTTATAATTTGTCAGCAACTTCTTTAAATGTATTTTATTAGATGACAGAGGCATTTTAAAAATTAACAAATGCACTGCCCTGAAGTAAACATTTTTAAATGTATATACATTATATCTGGATATACTAGAGCTCCCTCCCTGCAGCTGCAGACAGATTCGGATCCAGACTTCAGTCCCTTTCCGCCTATCTCCCCTTCTCCCCCTTTCAAATCTATCTCTTTAACAAAGGTTAAACCAGGCAAATACATATTTAAAAAAATAACATCAGAAAGAAATTAAGAAAAAGATGTCTGCATACCTTGAGAAGCCCTTCCCACAGACGGAACAGATGTAAGGCTTGTGAACTCCGCCGTCATGGGAGCGGACGTGGTAGGTCATGCGATCCTTCCTCTTGAACCTCTGCTGGCAGATGGGACACTCAAACGGCTTCTCGTCCGAGTGCGACAGCTTGTGGCGGTTGAGGTGGTACACGTCTCTGAAGGCCTTGCCGCACATGTCGCAACCATGATTCTTTTTCACCGGTTTGGGGGGCTTCTTAGGGACGCTCTGCTGCTGCTGCTGCTGCTGCTGCTGCTGCTGCTGCTGCTGCTGCTGCTGCTGCTGATGTTGTTGCATCTGATGCTGCGTTTGATGTTGGTGGTGCATTTGTTGCTGCAGTTGCTGCTGAATGTGTTGATGCTGCTGTTGAATGTGTTGCTGTTGTTGTATTTGCTGCTGGAGCTGATGTTGATGCTGCTGCTGAATGTGTTGGAGCTGCTGCTGAATGTGCTGCTGCTGAAGCTGCTGCTGCTGCTGTAAGTGTTGGTGCTGAAGCATCTGCTGCTGCTGCTGTTGGAGTTGCTGCTGTTGTTGGAGCTGATGCTGCTGCTGCTGTTGGAGTGAGTGCTGCTGCTGCTGTTGTTGGTGGTGGGGCTGAATGTGTTGTTGTTGGTGTTGTTGTTGGTTTTGTTGTTGTTGTTGGTGCTGCTGCTGCTGCTGCTGCTGCTGCTGCTGCTGTGGATGGTGGCTTGATTGTTGTTGTGGTTGTGAAGGATGATGAGAAGGTGGAGGTCCCACCATCAGGCGTCCGATTTCTAGTCCCCCAAAGATGACCTGCCCGGGGCTGGAGTACCTGGTCGGCACGGTGTACTGGGCTGTCAGGAGGGTGTCCTGGCTTTGGTCTGACCCACCAGCTGTGGCCCCAGCAGGGGTTGCTGTGGGATTCGTTAGGACATCCAGCTGAACATTTTGATTGGCTAGGAGTGATTGGACAAGACCAATGCTTTGGGCAGGGGACATGGCCTGGGCTGGACTATGGATGGGGGCAATAGGGATGTTGACGGTGCAGGGCGGGTTGTCATCGGTGCTCCCAGCGGGGCCGGACACAGGCAGGTCATCTTCATCCTCACTGAAGACGTTGGGGCTGAAGACGGGTAGATTGATGTAGTCCATGGAGATCTTACGCACCTCTGGCAGGTAGATGGTCATCTGTCGGGGCTGCAGATGGAGGAGGCTTGTCTTATAGATGACTAAGGGGAGAGGACCAGACAAAAAGACATCGGACTTATTTAAATGTATTTATTAATTTATCGCTAAATGCTAGTTGAAAAGTTTTTGATTGGTTACCTGCACCAAGATTAGTTGGCAAGAAAGCGGCAAGCCCCACAATCTTGAATTTTGTTCCCCAAATATTGGATGTGACCTGAGCAAGGTAATTTTGCTGCAAGATGGGCACAAAGAGAATGATTTTATGTATTATGTATGTCATTCCTTAAACCTGTATTGTATTTGTTGTGCTTGAAAAGTGTATGCATAATCATCCTGTGCATAGACTTCATACACAGCACTGATCCAGAGGAAAATAACAAATTAAGCTCAAATGATTTTACTGTTACCTGAGTGATGTCATCTAAAGGAAATTCCCTCCGTGTTAGACTGGGTGACCCAATTGAGGGTTTCCGTATGGGTAACCGTGGTGACCTGGAGATCTCTTGTGTAGCACGGGAAAGTTTGGGGGATTTTCTGGGATCAATGTTGATCCTGTTGGAAAAGGGACAAACTAAGTCTCTACAGAGAAGGTAGTAAATAAAAAATAAAAAGGTTTAGGCATGCATTGAACCAAAAACAGTGCAGATTTGTTAAACATAATGATATATCAAGGAAGTTATCAATAATTGCTGGGATGAAACTCAAATAATATCACTTCTGATATTACATATTTTATATAGACATTTATTAAAAGCCAAACGTTCATTCTTGTGTTTTTAAGCTGTTGGAGGAAGCTAAGATATCTGAAAGCTCTCTGCTGTCGAAGAAGCATTTAAGCTGACGCTGAATAACTGCCTAATATGTGGGAAATTAAATGTTTATTTAAAAAGAATTGTGTAACATGTAAGCCAAACCCCCTTAATACATTTCATTTTGTGTAGAGAGAACTAAGCAACCTTCCACCAATCTGTATCTTCGGTCAAAATGTCAAAGTGTCCCTGGGCAAAATACTGAGTCAGTGTTTGTGTGCATGTTAATATATACTGATGAGCAGATGGCCCCTTGTACAGCAAATATGAATTTTGTATACGAAAAAAATAAACATCAAATAAGGATGACATGCTACAGTACACTCAGGTTTCTGGTTACCTGGGCAGTTTGGGGGATTTGCTCCCTCTGGATATCTTTGGAGATTTCTTGCCAACCCAGTCGTCACTCAGCTCAATGTCACTGGAGTCAGAGCAGTTACAGCTGTCAATCATGGCAGATATCAGACTGTTGCCGTATATCTCGTCTGAGGAGAAAAGACAAGATGGGGGACGAATAAGAGGGGTCGATTTTGAGTAAATGGATTGTAGAAGTGTTAATTTCAACAAAAAATATTTAATGAGATGCTATAATGTGTGTTAACTTGAGAACTAAATCCGGAAGAGAAGAAGGAAAAACAAATATACAAATAAAGATGATCTAACTACTTTGGCATTTCTAAAAATACAGATGACATTGCAGGACATCTACTACTCTCCAACAACCTGGATAAAGGCATGTTCCTCATGGATTTGTATAAAACTAACTATATGGCGCAGCATTGTTCAACATTTCTAAAGATAAATATTTAATCCCATTTGGTCCAAATCTTTGTTTCAGTAGTTCCAATTCTTCTCTTTTGCCTCATTCTTATGGAGTCAGTGAACCACTGCTGTCCCAGTTTAGGTCAAGTTAATTTATTTGATGGACATTAAAGTGTGAATGGGCTGGAACCATTTCATGGCTGGCTTCATTTATCACTGCGTGGAGAGGGTGCGGGTTGATTTATGAGGAACCCAGGGGCCATCAGAGCCCCCATTAAGCAGCTTTTAATTAACATGGGCGCAGTCTGCCCTATGTGACTAAAACATAGCCACTCTCTGAGTTCCAAGTCAAGGAACTCAAATAACTGGAAAAGTACTGGAGCAGGCTGATGTGTCTGAGGAAAAACATTTAGCAGTTTTGTTTTACTCTTACAGTTAGTGCTGGGGGGAAACGATTATTTTGAAAACGATTAATCGGGCGATTATTTCATCGATTAGTCGACTAATCTAACGATTATTTTTCTGTTGTTCGATTTATAAAAAACATAATGTATCTCAAATAAATACCAAAAAACATTACTTCATTCATGACAACTGTGCACCAGCTTACGTGCAGCCCTGGCCTGGACATTGCTTGGCTCCGTTAGTTGACATACATTGATACTATAAGCTGACTAACGTTAGTCTAATGTTATGTTTGACTCGTAAACGACCACAACATGAGTTAGCTCTCTGTGCAGTTTGTTCGTTCCGGGTTAGTAGCGGCTAGATAGCGGTGTTCTGCAGACGTAAACTAGCTACCATTCCATCCAACGTTAAATGCTGACAAACGTTAACTAACACACAGCTGGCGCCGCTAGCTAGGTAGCTAACATTAACTACTAACCAACCAAGCACGAACAAACCGCACGGAGAGCTATAAGATAGTTAGCACTACCGAAGTGCACAGAACTCAAGCTGCACAACACACTAGGGCTGTTCCTATTTATGAATATGCTTTTATTTTGAAGGAGAGGTAGCGCTGTTGACAGGAAGTTGTTGTTGCTATGGAAACAACGTGACGGAGATTAACGGAGAAAAGTAATATCTACATATAAAGACGGAGAAAGTAAACGATAAACTGTTAGCACCCCCCGAACAAGCTCTTACGTTGATATTGGAGATTTCAATAAATTCAATTTGAAAGACCTAGGGCGAGATGTTTTTGTTTGGGGGCTTTTTGCAGGGCTTCCGTGCACAATCCTGTGAGGAGGAGGTGGTAGCCGTTTCAGTCTCCATAGTGTTTAAAGTGCGATTGCGAACTGCTTGTTGTTGTTGTTGTTTTGGGTGACCCACGTGTGTGTAGCGATGCGTCGACGAGGAAATATGTCGTCGACGATATTTTGAAGTCGACGCGTCGGCTACAGCACTAGGTTTTATGCTAACAGGTACAGATTTATCAACAAATCAATAAGTCGATCGACTATCGAAAAATATTTTAATACTCAAACAAATGTTGTTTTTGTGTCTGACTGATTAGACCAACCACTCTAATCAGGAACCTGTTCTTGGTTTTGATCTGTGAAGTTGCCAATATGAAGAAAGCGCAGTTTTACCTGTTTTCCCATCTGTCTTAGGGTCCATGATGACAAACTCGGGACGCAGTTTACTTATTCGCCGGCCTTTTAGGATGGGCACCAGACCCCCGAGGTACTCCAGGTACAGAGTGTAGCAGGGCCCCCCCACCTCTGGGTTATCCTCTGTTCGCTTCATTGTACAGTGCAGACGCTCATTTCCAGCTGTCGGGTAGCTCACAAAATCACGCATGTTGTTCGGATCAGGGATGGGGGGCTGAAAAGGAAAGGGGTGTATTTGTTATGAAGGCTTATCTCAGAAAGTGAGATCTCTGACGGAATGCAATTCATTAAGTATGTATGTTATGGTTTCAATTGATCCAGCAACCCCCTGTTCGGTGTTACCTTAATGGTGGGTACAAAAGCAGTAGTGACGTAAAAACAGAGGCGGGAAGGCATGGTGAGCTTGGCAATATCTTTTTCCTCCTTCACTGCTGTGGCGATGCCCTGCTGGCAGAGTAGCTGCAGATTGGCAACGCGGTGCTCCACTCGCACTACGTAGAGCGCCGGGCCGCATGCCAAGAACAGACGGGAGTCCCGGTGCCCCCAACACAGCGTAGTGATGGGGCGCTGCAGGGTGACAGGAGACACATGGGAGAAAGGCTAAGATTGTTTTGTCACATTTACAACACTACATACTGCAATACATCATTAAAATAAAGCATGAAAGATGTAAATATTAAGGGGTCTAATTGGTATGGCTGTGACATATAAGTATAGAGTCCAATCTTGACAAAGGGAAATAACAAACACATACAATTCTGAGTAATGTGACTCAGGTTTGGCCCTGGTAAAGTTCACCTGTGCTGGTGTGTCCAGTGTGTAGATGTGTTCACCCTGAACGTTGTAGAACTTAACAAGGGCGCTCCTGGTGGGGGGACAGGAGGGGTCGGAGGGGAGGAGGGCCCTCTCCATCCCGGCCACCGCAAGGAGGTCCCCCTGCGAGCACCACTGCACCACCACATCTGTAACACGAGGCACAGGAGAACAATTCATGTAATGCAGAGTAACACATGCAAACAACCTTTACCAAATAAATAAAATCCTTGAGATATCATTGAATGAAACATTATTGCACACCTTTCAGCCCGGTGCGGATGAGGGTGGGAGAGAGGTCGTCGTAGTTGTTCATCAGGCTGATGTCTCCAGATGTGAAGCTGACGGTCAGCAGTGGTTTATGACTGTGCACTATGAAGAGATAAAAGACAATTTAAACATATTGAACAGGAACTGAGAAAACAACATAACAAAGTGGTAACAATTTAAAGTACACGGTTTCAACAGCAAAGGAATAAAACAAGTTTCCACATTTAAGTATAGTGGATGTAAATAAACTAAATCAAGGGAAGGGTTACAATTACACATCTGTGCACTGAATAAAATGCAACAATTTATTTTATGTCAACTTTATCTGGGGGTTTAACTTTATATGGCAGAACAGAGAGTAAGGAACATAACTTATTACAACCCCAATGTAACCTGACATGTAACAAGGGAGGGTCTTCATTGATTTGTCAATACATCGATTTGTCAAGAAAGAAAAAAATCAATGGTGTGAACCCTTTTTAAATCATTGATTCTTCTTTCAAGGGAAACTGCAAAACATTGCCCAGTTGCAGCTTCTCAAATATGAGGATGTGCTCATATTCATTGTCTTGAAAACAGTGTTTCCCACAGAATTTGATTCTATTTCTGGGGGCACTCCCCCCAACGTTCTTGTTGCTCTGTGTTTCGTTGTTAATGAGTGAAACACACCGGAGTTGAGGATCTGTGGGGTTTATTCTCCCAAAAATATAATTTACAATTTAGGCCTTTAGCAGACGCCTTATTCCAAAGCGACTTACAATGACCAATTACAGGGACATTCTCCCTGGAGTAACCGAGGGCTAAGTGCCTTGCTCAAGGGTACACTAGTAGAGGTGTTCCAGGCAGGATTTGAACTTGCAACCTTCCGATCATCAGCCCACCTCACTATCCATTAGACCACCAAAAAAAAGAATAATATATATATTTTTTTTTCTGAGATCCATTTGTGGCGGACGATATTTATGTATGGGAAACACTGTGATAGTAGACTGACCATATTTAGGATATGGAGTGTTGGCCAGAATAAACAAGCAAAAATAATGGCATCACATTGGGCATTTTCCACGAGTTATTTACTTGCATTTCCAGAGTTGGCTAAAAAATACCGCCCGTGTGTTTGTGTGTTCTTATTTACTCTAGAGGTAGCTGGAGGCTATTAAGAGACAGACGAGGACAGTTAATTGGCAGTTGTAAATATTTGCCAGTGAGTTTTCACTATGTACATTTAACGAGAATACACAATTTCACAAACACAGGCCCAGCACATCTCCCTGCTGCACCTATAGCTGCAAACAAGTGGCATTTTCCGTAACCTGCTATAAATAGAACACCTTCAGACAACCACCCATACGTTTTCCATTAAAACAGCCTTGAGTCTGTCCTTTCTCCTAGTCCTGCAATGACCCAAATACCAACACAAATGAATTATCCACTGCTGCTTTTGATTTCAGCCAAGGCTTAGTTACTCCTTTTTAATAATAATAATCCATTCAGAATGGTTTTAACATTAAATGAGACATATGCTTCTTTTGTAAATGCAGAGTGTGGTGTTGTGTAGTGATAATGGGTCATCATTATATATCATGATACAGAGATTTGGAAAGGCAGAGGAACAGGCGGCCTGGTGTCTTAGTCATGTTTTCGACTTGAGAGATCATTTCTATCGAGGCCAATCAATTACTATTGGCTGGTTCAATTAGTTTAATTAGTGAGATAGAGCATAATCAGTCAAGCACTTTTCAGCTTTACCACATAACCCACGGTGAAAGGAAGGGAAAAAATAGCACAGCAGGAGGAGGACAGACCCTCACCAATACAGCCTTAGCAACTGGGACTAATTAAGCTCAAGAGAAAAAAGGAGGCAAAAAAGGAAAATAGGAACCAATACAAATGAGGCTGTTAAGTGGGCTGGTGTACACAGTGGAAGCAGCCAGGAGGTTGGGAGGGCTAACCACATGCAACTCTACTGTTGTGTGACTGCTCACGTCCAAGTAAAGTAGCAGTAATCGACCTACAGCAGTGGTCGCCAACCAGTCGATCGCGATCGAGTGTGTTGCGGGTAGATCGCGGACCGTTAAAAAAAAAAGTAACAGAAAGAAGAAAATAAAATTAAAATAATAATGTTTGAAAAATACGTTTTTAGATGTAAACCTATCATCCACCACCCCGTTAGCAGGTGCCACTTGATTGACGTATATTTGAGACACCTCAATAATATAATACATTAACCGTGCTTTACGTGAACCTCATCATGACACAAGAGACGACGGCAGGACTGTAATTTCCCGTGTTCAGTGAACGCAACAGAGGCAAGACACCAGACCAATCAGAGAGTTGCATGGAAATACACGTGTGCTTGTCTCATTCAAGCTCGGCTCTGTGTGTGTGTGTGGCAATAGCGCATTTAGTGTGTGAGAGAGAGAGAGAGAGAGAGAGAGAGAGAGAGAGAGAGAGAAGGGACCGGTGCTAGCGGAGGACAGTGAGAGAGAGAGAGTCTGGTTAGCTAGCTGCACTAACGGACATAAGGAGCTGTTTCCACAACAAGCTGGAGGAGAGTCCTCTCCTGTCAGACTGAGGGGCTCAGGTGAGCTAAAGGACTCTTGAGTGTTTAGAACGGTTTTGTCACAAATTATTCAAAAGATTATTTCCGCGGCACACCTTCATATGATCATTATAGTTATACAAACAATAAGAAAATAAATAAAAAACAGGTATGAAATAGCCTACTATATGGTAGTAAAACAAGAACACAGTTTAAAAGCAGAGTGATTTGTAAAATATCCATAAAGAAAAAGAAAATCTGTTTACAGTTCTGTTTCATATGGGTGCTGAGAGAGGTATCCATAGA